CATGTATCAGTTCTTCATCCCTTTTTATGGTCAAATAATATTCCATTGTTTGGATATATATCCATTCATCGTTTGGTGGTGGTGGTTTGGATTGTTCCCACCCTTTGGCTATTATGAATAATGCTGCTCTGAAACTCATATAAGCATAAAAATTAATTTGCTATGCTTTTGTTGTTATTGATAAGTGCCATTGAGTCAACTCTAACTCAGTGTGACCCAATGTAAGATTTCCAAGAAACAGACGGTGGGTTTGAACTGCAACCTTGTGGTTAGCAGTACTTATCCTACGATGCTACACCAAGGACCTTATAGTCTGTTAAAAATTCTCTGAGATTTTTATTGTAATTGTATTACATTTATAAAATACTTTAGGGAAAACTAGGTTTTTATAATATTGAGTGTTTTCATCAAGAAAAATTACTTCCTTTGTGCTTGTTCATATTTGTTTAGGCCTTTATAACATAAAGGTTATAGTTTTCTTCTGAAATTTTTTATTCATTTTTAAACTTATAATTATTTTATATCATTTTGTCATGTTGAATGGGATATTTAAATTTAATTTTCTATTTGGTGGTGGCAATATATAGAAAATCTCTTCATTTATATGTCTTTACCTTTACTCGAGGATTTCGTTTGTTAGTTCTCATAAGCTTTCAGTTTATCTTTTATTTTCTAGATAACTAATTATATAACTGTAAATGTACAAAGTTTATCTTTCATTACAATATTTACCTTCCCTCTTCTTTTCTTTTCTGACTTTATTGTTGTAGACCTCAAAAATAATGATATATATGTTGCATATAAATCTTTTTCCTTAACAATTATTTTTGTTTGCAATTATTGTTACAACAAAAACAGGAGAAATCTGATCATGAAAGAAAAATAACTCTGAATTCCATTTAAAAACAAACTTTTTAAAAATTATTAGAGTGTAAATAAATTGTTTATAAATGTATGATTCCTGGGTACTGCAAATGATTTGCACTTAGTTAGAATTAACAGCACACAACCACAACACCAACCAAAGGACGATGGTTTGCATCCACCTAGCGTAGTGGTTACGAATCGGGCTGCGAACCTTAAGGTCAGCGGTTCAAAACTACCAGCCGCTCCGCGGGAGAAAGATGAGGCTTTCTACTCCCGTAAAGATTTACACCCTCGGAAACCCTGTACAGGGTCGCTATGGGTCGGAACCGACTCGATGGCACTTAACAACAACAAGCTGCACTATGGAGTCCTTGTGTGGTGTTGTGGATTAATGCGCTGTACTGCAAAGTCAGTTTGAACTTCAGGATCAATGATTCAAGCTCACCAGCTGCTCCTCAGAAACCCTAGACAGGGTCGCTATGGGTCGGAAGCGACTTGACAGCACTTAACAACAACAAAGTGCACTATGGAAAAAAAGGACTTGAAATCTTGCGGGAGTGCAGCTCTCTCAGGGTCGTGAGACTCAAGAGGAGACTTGGAATCGGCGAAAGTGAAAGTAATCGAGGAGTCTCCGCTTAGTTGGCGGATGGAACGCTCTCTGCCCCGGCTCAGCAAGTCTTTATTTATACTTAAAATTTCACAATGCATAATGATTTGATACCTTGATTTTTCCCTTGAATTATTACACATTTTTAATCATAACATTCTTTTACCCGGTGATTATAAAACCTTAACAAAAGTATTTCTGTGATGTCCCACCTGACCTTTCCAATATCCTGTTCATTTTCTAACCATTAAGCATTTTTCTTCTGACATCATCTCCTTTTCTACATAAGTGAAAGATTATTTTTCCATATTCCCACTAAAAGATCAAGTTAAACCTTACACAAATCATTTCCACCTCCCAGACCCCTGATTACATCCTCTTACTAATATAAGTTTCTATCAATCATCATTGCCTACACTACTTTATTGTTTCTACTAGCTAATTATCAATCTTCTATCCTGCATAAAGTACTACTGTTTTCTATAGTAAAAGCATTACTAACATCTATTTAACTATTTTGTTTTTCTAAAGTATTCATTAAATTGCTTAACCACAATGTTCCTATGTTTCTTTCTTTTGGGCCCATGAGGCATGTTAAAGGCCCAACCTGGTTAATTGCTGCTGGAAAGGTAGATTATTAAATTTTGACCACCTTTCATTTATGTTCACTATTCTCTGCCTAATTACGTAGGTTCCTGTATGTGGTAGTGGGGGGGTTGTGGGTTCTGGGCGGTAATTGACTTAGGTGAGGTCTATAGAGGTGGGTCAGCTTTTCTTTAGATTTTTATCTGCTTTTGTGATCTCATAAATGCAGCTGCTTTGTACTCAGGTTTTCTGTGAGAAGGAATAGGTCATTAATTTATTTACAATTCCCTTTGAATCTAATTCAGTGAAGCTGAAACAATTGTTGCAAGACTGGTTTTTCCTAAACTCTGCAAAACTCACAGTAGAAGCCATGAATATGGCAGTACAATGTATCCACACAAGTGGAATCAGAACCATCCTAGAAAGGAGAGATAGAGTGCTTTTCCAAAAAATCATCTGCTGTGCTGATGTTTTCTCCTTTTGCCGGGACTGTGTCAAATAGCAGCAGGGGATTGGCTCCCAGCAAAATCTACTTTCAGAAAGTTTACAGCCAAGAAAACCCTACGGAGTTAGTTTCCTTCTACTGTGGCATACTTGGGGCTGCCATGAGTTGGAATGAACTCAACAGCAATAGATTTGGATGTTGTTGTTTTGGGTTTTTTTTAACAGATGTATAGAAAGGCTGACAAAGGATATATAGCAAACAACAGCAAGTGCTTTTTTTGTGGTGGTTGTTGTTAGGTGCCTTTGAGTTGGTTGCAACTCAGCAACCCTATGCAAAACAGAATGAAACACTGCCCAGTCCTGTGCCAGCCTCACAATTGTTGTTATGTTTGAACCCCTTGTTGCTTCCATTCTGTCAATCCATCTTGGAGGTTTTCCTCTATTTTATTAATGTTCTACTTCACCAAGCATGACATCCATCTCCAGGGGCTGGTCTCTCCCAACAACAAGTCAAAAGAATGAGAGATGAAATCTACCCATCTTCACTTCTAAGAAGCATTTGGCTGTACTTCTTAACATATTTGTTTGTTCTTCTGGCAGTTCATGGTACTTGCCATATTTTCATCAACATCATAAATCAAATGCATCAATTCTTCTCTGCTCTTTTATTTATTGTCCAACTTTCACATGTATATGAGGCTACTGAAAATATGATGACTTGGGTCAGGTGCACCTTAGTCCTCAAGCTATCATCTTTGCTCTTGAAGCAGATATGCCTAATGCAATATGCTGTTTGATTTCTTGACTGCAGCTCCTTTGAATGTGGGTTGTCGATCCAAGCAAAATGAAGTCTTTGACTACTTCAATCTTTTCTCCATTTATTATGATGCTATTTGTTGTGAGGATTTTTGTTTTCTTTACGCTGACATGCAATCATAATGAAGGCTGTGGTCTTTGCTCTTCATCAGTAAGTATTTAAAGTCCTCTTTACTTCCAACAAGCAAGGTATGTCATCTGCATATCACAGGTTGTTAATGAATCTTCCTCCACATTCTTCTTTATGGAGCCCAACTTCTTGGATCATTGAATCAGCATACAGATTATAGTGGTGAAAGCATACAACCCTGGCACACACCTTTTCTGATTTGAAACCATTCAGTATCCCCTTATTCTCTTGGAATGACTGCCTTTGGGTCTGTTTCCTCATGAGTGCAATTAAGTGTTCTGGTACACCCATTCTTCACGTTGTTATCCATAGTTTGTTATGATCTACACATTCACATGTCTTTGCATAGTCAAGCTAGCACAAATAAACATCTTTCTGGCATTCTCTGCTTTTAGCTAAGATCCATCTGACTTCAGCAATGAAAATTCTCATTTCATGTCCTCTTCTGAATTTGGCTTGAATTTCTGGCAGGTCCTTGCCAATACAGTGTTGCAACAATTTTTTAATTATCTTCAGTAAAAATTTACTTGCATATGATATTAATGATGTTGTCTGACGATTTCCACATTCCATAGGGCCACCTTTCTTTAGAGTGACACAAATATGGGTCTCTTCCCATTGGTGATCCAGGTAGTTGTTTTCCAAATTTCTTGGCATAGACAAGTGAGCACCTCCAGCCCTGTGTCAGTTTCTCAAAACCTTTCAATTTGGATTCCATCAAATTCCTGGAGCCTTGCTTTTCACCTATGTCTTCAGTGCATCTTGGACTTCTTCCTTCAATACCATCAATTCTTGATCATTTGCTACTTATTGAAATAGTTGAATATGAACCAATACTTTTTGGTACAGTGACTCTGTGTATTCCTTCCATCTTCTTCTGACAGATGGGAATGCTTCCTTAGAGGTGTGGAATTATGGAATCAGGAACAGGGCTATGTAAACAACCCCCTTTGCCTATACTCTTTATAGATAGCTTGGTTTTTGACAGTGAGTATTTCCTACTTTCCTCATTTTAAATGCATTTTGGAAAATATTCAAATCGTAGAAAGTATATAAAGACTATTTATAAGGATTTAGAGATATGTACATGTTTAATGGCTGAATGTTAAGTTTTCTTCACTAAATTCAATTTCAAGTAAATTAGACAAAGATAAGATAGCTGGAGAGAAAGGCAGACAGGTAAAGATATATACCCACTTGCCATTACTAGAAAGTTCACATACAGAAAAATGGTCATAGGAAAGAAATGGGTGCAAAGGAAGAACTTCTAAATTAAACAAGACAGAATACTGAGACAGAGTTGGTATCATCTTCCATCTTTGGCTGCTAAGGAAAATGAGAATGGAGGAATTATTCTGTGGGTTGAAGAGACTTTTAACTGCTCTGTAATGTCATCAGACCTTGATTGCCCTCTGAGAGACTCTGGGGAGTTCAGCAGTCACTGGAAGTCATCACTATTGTTTGCCCCAATACTTGGGGGACCACATAAGTGATAGTACTGCCACGTGTTGGGATATGACTACAAGCATCCTTCCCATTGTTATCTTCCAGGATTTCCAATGAACATTCTCCTAAACTCCAGATCCGGAGCCACAGTTACCTGAGGGCAGTCAGTGAAGTCTCCATCAACCGGAGCCTGGACAGCCTGGACCCTGCAGGCCTGCTCACATCACCCAAGTTCCGCTCGAGGAATGAGAGCTACATGCGAGCCATGAGCACCATCAGCCAGGTGAGCACTACCAGAAAGACCAGTGGTGGCCAGGGGCTGCTAACTGCAGGGGAGACAGTAAACACTGAGAGGGTGTGAGGACTCAGTGGACTGGGCAGAGGGCCCATCTAAGGGCTACAGAAAAGATTCTCTGTGTTTGACTGCAACAAACACCTGGTGTCAATAGTCTACCAGCAGCGAAGGTTGCAGGTGAATAAAGTACAGTAGAGGGAATCCTTGGGAATTCTTTGGCAGGCACCAGCAAATGGGTCATTGAGGAGTTGATGGAGAGGGTTTCCGTTGTAAAGATGCTTAAAGGACAGGAGGCCAGAATGCATATCACTGTCAAAACAAAGCACTATCTAATCATAAAGTACTAGAATATTGTGTTGCTGTTTAGTGCCATCAAGTCAGTTCCGACTCATAGTGACCCAGTATAGGGTTTCCAAAGAGCAGCTGGTGGTTTTGAACCATCAGCCTTGTGGTTTGCAGTCCAGCACTTATCCTATAGTGCTACTCCAGGAGTAGGTCATAAAGACATGGACCTGGGCACAGGAAACAAGATATAACCTATTAACCTGCACTAAGACACTGCTTGAATATTGCCTCTTGATAACTTTATTCATTAGGAATGGGATTAATTAAAACTTCAACTTTTAAACATTCAAGGGAAGTCATAAGAGCTGTGATGTAGGTTAATTAATCTGGCAAAGAAGCACAAGAAAGATTGGAGAGACTAGTTTGAAAGGTACTGAGATCATCAGGTGGGAATTCATACAGTAAGGTGGACGGTGGTGGTTGTGACTTTGATGATGTCGATGGTGGTGATGAAAATAGTAGAGTGATGCTGATGGTAGTGGAGGTAGTGATAAAGATGGTGATGATGGTGAATATGGGTATGTTAGTATGGTATAGTGGTAATTACAGTATTGATGGTGGTGAGCATGATGGTGGTGGTGGTGATGGTGCTGGTAATGCTGGTGATGGTAATGGTGGTAATGGTGATGGTGGTGATGGTAATGGTGGTGGTAATGCTGGTGATGATAATGGTAATGGTGATGGTGGTGATGGTAATGGTGGTGGTATAGTAGTAGAAGTGGTGGAGGCGGTGGAGTTAACTAAGGTGTCATGGTGATGACAGTATTGGTGGTAGTGAGCATGATGGTGGTGGTGGTGATGGTGGTGATGGTAATGGTGGTAATGGTAATGGTGGTGGTATAGTAGTGGAAGTGGTGGAGGCGGTGGAGGTGGCTAAGGTGTAATGGTGATGACAGTATTGGTGGTGGTGGCCATGCTAGTGGTGGTGGTGGTGACAGTGGTGATAATGGTGAGCCAGAGGGAACCAGAGGAAACTGTCATAAGAAGCTCACATATTTGTGCAGTGTACATTTCTTTACTTTAAAACTATTGCCAAAAGCAATAACTGCTTGTCCAATCATATATACACTATCCCAACATCAAAGAAATATTTGGTGCCTTGTTTGGTTACAATTTGGACTTGTTTTGTTTTACTTTTTCACTATAATCAATAAAATATTATAAAATTCACTAATCATATCTTTATTCTACATAGTCTAGTGGCCACAGTGTCTTCGGGAAGTCTGTGGTCTAGTGTATATGAACTAAATAGATTTCTAGATTTAAAAAGTAGTCTATAAATCTAGCTGTCATATATGCAGAATACATCAGTAGGTTTAAAACTTATGCTGGAAAACTCTTTAAACATATTCATGATTTCCACAGTTTTAAGATGTCTAAAATAGGAGTGCATGTACTTCCCGCAGCAGGACATTATGTCTACGCAGATGACTGCATTTAGTCCCTTTGCTACCAGCCTGACTTTCCATGAGAATGCATCCCTTCCCAGTGAGAGCTTAATAAGAGATCAGCAAATCTCTGAGCATACACGTGAAGCCATGGTGCACTCTCAGGTCAAGCTCTGCAATTTAGTGCTGTGATCATTTGCCTTAAGTAAAATACAGAAAGAATGCCATCCTAATGGGTTCCTAATGATATACCATTTTTCTAACTCTGTATTCCATTTTCAAGTAGCCCAATATTTTTAGGGGTAATTTCAAACTTTCTATTGTAGTCACAACATTGTCATTATTCACAAGAGAATAGTTTTGTCTTCAAAGCAATGAAAGCACAAATATTGTAGGCTTTTCAAAATGTGGTTGACTGGTATGATGTTAGAGAGAATCTCTCTTTTAGATCATTAGTAATACTTATAATAGTATAGAATTTAAGCACATTATATTTCTAGTCCCTTTTAAAAACTGATACATTATTCATCAAATGCTCCTAGAAAGATCACAGAAAAGTTTTCTAAGTCAAAAAATTGGTTTAAAATAAATCATCATTTCTTTCTGCTATTCATACATTATGAAAATAAAAGACCCCTAAAAACAGAGTCATGGTGTGGCACTGTGGGTTAATGCATTGGACTGCAAAGTCATTCGAACCACAAAATTGGAGGTTCAAGCTCATCAGCCGCTCCTTGGAAACCCTATGCAGGATCACTATGAGTCGGAACTGACTCTTCGGCACACTACCACCACCACCACTATCATGGGTCAGAAACGACCTGACAGTATTTAACAATAACAACAAAACAGATAGGACTTCTGGTGTGATGCTGTAGAATCAGCACTTGACTACTAGCCACAAAGTTAGTGGTTCAACCCCACCAGTCACTCCTCAGAATTCCTATGCAGTGTCACTGTGAGTCAGAACTGACTCAATGGCACTTAATAACAACAACAGGCAGTTACTGTGCCAGATGGAAATACCAGTTACTTAACACTTGATGTAGGTCATCCCTTCATTATATATGTGTGTGTGTGTATATATATATATATACATAATTGAAAATCCAGATGAATTAAGAGTCATAGCTAGTCAGTGACAGAACCTATATTCACAGAGCAGAATAACATTCCAGAAAACAAAACATGCCAGAAATGCATACCTGTGAAATAGATGAAAACTGTAGCAAACCTTTTCAAAATGAACTAAAAGACATTAAGAAATTGATGAAAGGACAAGAAAGAAGAGCATAAGTCAAAGAAGAGGAAGAGAGGAAGGAGGAAAGTGAGGAAAATGAAAAGGTTCAGGAGGAGATATTAAGAAGATTTGTTTAAACTGAAGGGATAATGATGATATATATAGGCTAAGTTACGGTGAAGATTAAAACAGGTGGCAGAATTATGTTTATTTTATGATGCAATTTTTATGAAAAATAGAGAAGGTATTATATAGCTTCTGGAAATATGGTCTCACAAATTTAATAGTTGTTACCTTGGCAGGGGTTTCACTTCAAACTTGCAAAAGATTTCCATGTATAATACAAAGAACTCCAGTATGTATCCTTGACCAGATCAGACTCATTGACCACTAAGAATCCAACACCTGTTTGCTCTTTCTCTCCATCCATTTGACAGTTAGTTGCCGATGTCCTGTCCCTTTAGCCCCAAATGCATCTCCCTTTATTTCCTAAACACAAGGATATAAATACTTTATTATATATGTGTAATAATACAATGAATAAGCACTGGGCTGCTAACCACAAGGTCAAGCAGTCCAAACCCAACGGCCATTCCGCAAGAGAAAGATGAGACTTTCTTCTCCCATGAAGATTTATAGTTTTAGAAACCCTATTCTGAGTCAGAATTAACTTGGTAGCAATGGGGAATATATTGTAATTATGCATACATGTAATTATTAGCTGTGAAAAAGTTTGATAGGTTTCTATCAAATGAGATAAAGTACGTGAAGTACTATTTCAAACTGTAAATTAAGAAATGTGTATCTTTTTTCCACTTGCTATGTCATAAGATCATTGGTGACTTTTACCTGAAGCTAAAAGAATTTAGCTATTGCTGGAGCTTGTCTTCAGGTAACACAGAATGAGGAGAGCACCAAATAGTTCTACTAGGTTTCAGAGCATATTCTAAGCTTGATGGTCATTTAATCTGTTAAATTCCCAATTACTCATTAATTTGAGATTGAGAACATAGAGACAAAAAACTCGGAAAGGTAACAGAAAATTTAAAATGCTCTGAAATCTCTATCACATCAGCTGCATGTGAAAACTTAACTTAAGCTCATCATTGTTGCTGGGAAGTGTAGTCCAGTCAGTTTCGACTCACAATAGCCGAGTATAGGGTTTCTGAGGATCTGCTGGTGGGTTTGAATCACCAGCCTTTTAGTTAGCAGTCCAGTGCTTATCCTACTGCCCCACACCAGGACCAATATTAAGGCAGATTTCACCTTAAGTAGTGCACAAACCCAATGCAAGTTATAATGTTACATAAAGAAATATATATAAATAAAATCAGATCCCTTTAAAAAGAGATTCCTTCGTTTGGAAAAAATTTTAATGCATTTATAAACACTTTGGGGATAATATCAGCCATTTATAAAGAAAAGTGAAACTTGTAAATAATTTTTAAATCATAGTGCTGTTCAAAGTTTTGACACATGGTTTCTTCTGTTGTTTTTTTTATAACAGAATGTAGGTATCTTGCCAGGAAATATAGGGCAAGTTTCCATATTTTGTACTAAATTAAGATTCTATCAACACCGAATTTATTTGACAAACAAGTCACTTCAAAAGGCACACTAAAAATACTAGTTTCTAGAACATTTGTACTAAAAACAGTTACATTGAAATATCATATGAACTTTGACCATGGACAGATAAAAATATTCCCTACATTGATGTCAACAGATAAAAAGAATGTTCACATTTATATGCCTTGAATTAGGACTCTCCAGCCCCCATACCTCCCCCACACTTCCTTGCATTCTAAAAACAAAACTCTTTTTCTTTAGAATGAGAGAAATTACTTGGAATTATAAACCAGATGGCGTGCACACACACACACATTCACAAGGGTAATTCAAAAAGTATCTATCTGCACTTGGATGTAGCATTTATTTTTATCAACTTTTAAAAAAGAAAAATACATCATTGGAAACGTGTGCACATTTTTTGTGTGTGTGTATGTTGTTGTTCCTGAGTGCCATTGAAAATCATGTATTTTTCATTTTTAAAAGTTGATTAAAATAATCTCCCTGCTTTTCAATACACTTTGTCCATCTGTCAACAAGCTTTCATATTCTCTTATTTAAAAATGTTTTAGGCTGAGCTGTGAGCCACAAATGCACTGCTGTCTTCACTTCATCATCAGAGGTGAATCTTCGTCCTTGAAGGACTGCTTTCAGGGAACCAAACAGCTTAAAGTCCAAAGGAGCAAGATCAGGACTATAGGGAGGATGCTTTAACACCTCAAAATGAAGCTTTTACAGAGTGTCAAGAGTGTGGGCAGACTTGCCTACCATTGTAAAATAGACACTTGAAGGGGGGAGAAAGGAATAGCCAGAAATTTCACCATCGAAAGCTTGTAAGTCTGTCTTCAGCCTATAACTGTTTGGAATACCTAAAATTGGGCTAGAACTTGCCGAGTGAAGGAGGCTCCCTGCGGAGTCTTTACATTGTATAAGACCATAGGTGGAATCCTGATCCCCATCCAGAATCTTCTGAAGTGGGAAATTTCCACTTGAAAGGACAAACAGACCAGTCTGGAGCAGCTGGAAGAACAGAAGATACGTCTTGAAAGAAAGACCAGCAGGAAAAATCAAACATAATAACAACAGTCTGATTGACTACTACAAGAACAAGCAAGTTGTTCACCCAGGGGCCATCAAGGTAATTGGTCAGGTCCCCTCAGGGCAAACTCCCTTCCAAGACTAAGACTCAGGGGAATACACGAGCAGGCATGTGTCTTGCTGGTGACCACGATGGTCACTGAAAATGGGGAGTGGGGGGAAAACAGCAATGAAGTTTTGAGCTAAGTCTGACCACATTCAATAGACTCCTGTCAACCTAGATTGTGACCTGGTTGGCCAGCAGTATGGAGAGACCTTGGGAATCTTGGGCCCAGAGACAGGAACATGGCCACAGAGGACTAGAGTGGAGAGTGAAGCATCCAGCTGATATGAAATAAGGGGAGATGCACAAGATGCACCCATACTTGCAGATAGTACTCATTTGAACTGGCTTCAATGGCTAGATGATCAGAATTAGACTAGTGGAAGAAAGAAGAGGGAAAAAAAGAGTAATCTGCTACAATTTGATGAACTTGACCTATGCTTGTGGATGTAGTAGCTCAAAAGAGGTAACAAATCTTTACAGGGAGAATCATTCTCACCCCCTCAATACACAGGGTCGACAGGGATGGGCAACTTAGACATTGGCTACCCAAAATGAGGGGGGGTGGGTGTACAAAGGCAAGAAGAGACTGGCTTACAAGGTTTCAAGAGGGAGCCTAGTTCCAGAGGGTGCAGGGGAAGGTAGAATCTCCACCAAGTTGCTTCCAACCTGTTTGGACAGGGCTGGTGAAAGGAGACAGGGATAAGATTCTTGTGGTTCAGTAGTGAATAATTGCTATCAGGACTGACTGTGAGTATTGGAAATATAAAGGTAGATGTTTTGTAACAAAAGGAGAGGAGTGGTTGATTTTGCAGTCCAGGTGTGGAAGTCTCTGGGACCATCAAGGGAGAAGAGCAGAGTGTGTGGCCCTATCCAGAGAAGCAGCGACACCAGAAATGGAGGCAGAGACAATGACATGGAGAGATGACATGGCTGGGGACTCTGGACTGACGGAGAGAGAGGGTCTGTGTGTTGTTGGCCAGGGGACAGGCTTGCAGTGTATACCTTTTGATTGTTTGATGATACATGCAGGGGATTGTTATCATTGCAATAAAATGAAATAAGATAGGATGAATGTAAAGCTATTGTTCTCCCATGTAAAGTATCACATAATTCACAATAAAAACTTTTTTAAAAAAAGAGTGTGGGCAGAGACGTATGGCCATGCTCTGTCAAAAAGATGACAATGCCCTTGGATAGCCATCCTCTGCATTTAATGCGAAGTTGAGCCTGCAGTTCTTCAGTGAGCATCTCACTGTAATGAGGACTATTGAACCTTTTTCCTGAGTGTTCCAATACTACTCTTGAGAATCTCAGAAAGCTATAAACATATTATATTTTCCAGTTGATGGTTAACTTTTGGACTTTTTCTTGGTCAGAAATTGAGGATGTTTCCATTCTTTGTTCTGCTATTTACCCTCAGGCTCCTTGTTATGAATCTATGTCTTGTCACCAATAATATATATATTTTTTTAATTTACCTTCCTTTGCGGATTGGTTCAAATTTTGTTTGCAGATGTTCCAACACTTCTGTTTATGCTCTTGTGTGAGTTGTTTCAGTACCCATCTCACACAAATTTTTTGAAACCCCAGTCTATTATGGATTATTTCATAGGCAGAGCCATGGCTGATTGCAGGTGATTTGCTACATAATCCACTGTCATTCATCTATTCAACAGAATCATTTCATGTGCACGTTCAATGTTGTCATCAGCTGCAGACGTGGACAGGCGTTTTAATATAACAAGAATGCGGATAATTTTTGGAACACTGGTGTGTGTGCATGTGTGTATGTTGTTGTTGCTGAGTGCCATCGAGTCAATTGCGACTCATAGCCATGCTGCATAGGGTTTCCTAGGAGCAGCTAGTGAACTGCCCACCTTGTAGTTCCCAGTCCAGTGCTGATCCTACATAGCCACACCAGGAGTCCTTATAAAGCCCCCACCCCCGTTCGCCCGGAACACAATCACCATGAGTCAGAACCTACTCCATGGCTGCATATATAAATATGTTGTTGTTGTTACATGCCATCATTGAGTCAGTCCTGACTCATAGCAATCCTGTATAGGGTTTCCAAGGACAACTGGTGTGAGTTCGAACTGCCAACCTTGTAGTTCAAACTGACCTTGAGGTCTAGTGCTTAGCCTATGGTACCACTTCAGGACTCCATATAATATATACATACATAATTTTATATGTCTTATGTGTATAATATTTTATATGTATAATGTATATATGGTATGTATGTGGAGCTGTGGGCTAATGTGCCAGACTGCAAAGTCGTTTAAACTGCAAGGTCGGTGGTTCAAACTAACCAGCTGCTCTTTGGAAACCCTATTCAGGGTCGCTATGGGTCGGAACCAACTCGATGGCACTTAACAACAACAACAAATATAATGGAGTCCTGGAGTGGTGCTGTGGGTTAATGCGCTGGACTAAAAAGTTGATTTGAGCTGCAGAGTGGGTGGTTCAAGCTCACCAGCCGCTCCTCGGAAACCCTATACAGGGTCACTATGAGTTGGAACCGACTTGACGGCACTAACCAACAACAATGTATATGTTATATTATGGTGCCATGGAGTATGGATTTTGACTCGTGGCGACTGTGCTCCATGGGTTTTTTTAAATGAGTGTGAGCTTTCGAATATAAATCGCCAGGCCGGTCTTTTGCGGTGTCTCTGTGAATTTGAACACCAACCTTTGAGGTAGTATCAGAATGTTTAGCCGTTTGCTCCATCCAGGATCACCAAATTTGTAACAAAAAATAAAATGCTTTAGAATGTGCTGTACTCAGCCTCTGCTTTCTTTTGGGAGCTTGAACTTGGGAGACACTTGAAGAAAGGGGTGGATTCTGCACCAGATGAAGAACTGCGGTGTCTCCGTGCAGGTGAGCGAGATGGAAGTGAACGGCCAGTTCGAGTCCGTGTGCGAATCCGTGTTCAGCGAACTGGAGTCTCAGGCCGTGGAAGCACTGGACCTTCCGGTGCCGGGCTGCTTCCGCATGCGGAGCCACAGCTACGTGCGGGCCATCGAGAAGGGCTGCTCCCAGGACGACGAGTGCGTGTCCCTGCGGTCCTCATCCCCACCCCGCACCACCACCACGGTGAGGACCATCCAGAGCAGCACCGGTGAGTGAGCGCGTGCGTGGGCCCCTAGTGCCGCACTACCACCAACACGGGCCTCTGCGGGTCCCGCAAGGCATACTGGCCTAACAATATCCTAGTTCTCACAGACTCCCCAGGACCTCCAGGGCCCCCAAAGCAAGCTTCAGCTTTAGTGCCAGCCTCCATCAGCATCCTCAGGATACCCTGAGCAGCCCCTGCACCCTCTCCCTCTTGGGTTTCCACCCAGGAGACTGCCTCTAGAGGATCACCAGGGAATAAGAGGGTGGGCGGTCTCCCAGAGATTCCCAGAGAGTCCCATCCACATAACATTCTAGGACCAGCAAACTGCCCCCATCAACTTCTAGACTTTTAGAGGCGTGTTAGCCAAATGACCACATATTCCCCTATTGATTGGGCATGCCAGACTGGAGTTCTTTGTTGTTGTTGTTGTTGTTTTCTTTAATTCCAAGAGATCCAAAAAAGTGACTCTCCCAGGACCTGAAATATCACTATGAATGAGAAAATAAGCAATAGATGACGCAGTAACAGTGTTGGAACTTGAGTTGTCTTTGATGATAACACAGTCAGATTATTTATTTCATTACTTTTAGACCTTCTATCCTATAGCTTACAGCACCTCCTTTATCCTCTAAACTGTATTTAGGTATCTGCTGTAAAGCTGTGTCTTATCAGTAGAGTTTAAGCTCCAAAAGCACAGACTAACTAAACTTGTTTCCATGTCATTGAAGCCCACCTAGGAGTGATGTACAACAATGTGTATGTTGTTGTTGTTGTTTTAAATGATATTTTGATTCCAAGAAGAAAATCCCCATCTTAAAATTAACTTGGCTAAACTTTATGATTGAATTCAGTATAAACCCAACACAGAGTAGGTCCATTAGAAGATCATCAAACCTAGAGTCAGGATAAATAATGATGAATAAATAAGAAGGAAGACCCTCTGTCTGAAGATTGCATGATTTTAATTACATGTGTACTGAATGTCAGTGATCATCCCCCTGCTTAGAATTATTCAGAATTAAAAATTGGTCCTCAAATGTGATTTAAAACTCTACAAAGTAAGAGATTTGGGGTGAGTTCGGACTTTAAAAAATAAAAGAAAGAACAATCATCAGAGATGAAACAATAGGTGTTCACTCCTGACCAACAGAAGCTACGATCTCAGAGTTGGGGAAGAGATGTTCTAGATATGACCCACTTAGCAGCTGTGACCTAGGCTGGCTATCACTGGACAAGAGAGAGTGACAGTACTATCTGTCATGTAAATCTGCTCATTAAATTCTACAATAACATCAAGTGTGGTTAACCTTGATTAATAAGTTAACATATTAATAAATTAAAACGGATGAAGAATAGTTTTAAATCATTCATGGGCATATTTATGTGCATGTGTCTGTATCCATACATAACTGTAGTTTTGAAGGTCTGCCCTGTTCCTACAGCAGTTCACTGTGGCTTTTGGTGTTATCCCATTTTTCCAGGCCTATACCCCACCCTGCCTACCCTCGCCCAGTGTCTCCTTCGTGTTCTCTCTTTAATGACCTCATCATCCACCAGCATGCTCTTCTGTGCTGAAATCACCCCCTCAATGCACAAAATGTAGATCCTTGTTGAGGATTGCTAAGGAGTGTGCTTTGAAGACATAGTCAAAAAGGAAAGGTTCACTCTTTCCCCCTTGGCTTCCCTCTCAGACGGTGGTCTTGTGGATAACGTAGTGAGGAACTCCATGATGCCTCTTCTCTACTCACTTCTCACAAAATAGAGTGTTTTCATCATTTAAGAAACAACTCTCAGTTACTGTCCTGTGCTCTTCACTACAAATAGCCCACGTCTGACCTCCCTAAGATCCTCCCCAGATACTGTACTCTGAAACTTCCCAGAGTACAGACTATAAGACTGCCAGATAAAATACAAGATGCCCATTTTAAGTTAGCATTTCAGATAAAAAGCGATAATTTTGTAGTATAACTACACTACAAATATTGTATGGGGCATATTTACACTATAGAAGTGTTGTTGTTTACCTGGAGCTCAGAATTTACCTGGCTAGCCTATATTTTTTATTTGCTACATCGGACAGCGCTATAAGAGAAGGAAATGAGAGGCACCTGGGAGAGAATCCTGTGTTAGTCTATTTCGAAAGTATATTCTATCTGAGGAGCTTTAGACCCTATGTGGGAAAATAACCATAAATGGGGAGAAGTTAAAGAAAACATCCTGGAAATGATTGTGCCCACTTCTTCTTGGGGTCCAGGCACCTAGTCCTAAGTACAGGGCCATGGCCACTTACAGCTTTCTGGATGGGAGGCTCCAGGCTCGATTGTAGCTGCAGGTGTTTCGTCAGGAAGCTGTGACTTGCCCCAGGGAGTGGTGAAGCATACAATGCCAGATTTGGCACACATAGGTCGGCTTTTGATATCACCATCATTCACCTAAGCATTATGGTATAAATCTTTACAGGGGTTGGAAAAAAATCACAAATGAAGGACTGAGCCATGATAGGAGATTCTAAGCGTGTCGCATAGTTAAGAGTGCAAATTGCATAGTTTTTCTGTCATAAATTTGTTCTTTTAAAAAATAAACGGCATTTTTAAAAAAATAATAACTTTTTGTGACATTCTATGCCTCCCACACAATAACAACAACATGCCTCCCACACACTACTCTGGTGTGCTACTTTAGCTCTCTGTTTCCCTCCCCACCTCTATCTCCCAGGCGTGCAAACACACACACGTACACATACACACATTTTTTCTTTGCTTTCCCTCTCTTACATGATCTGAGTACCCACATCGTGTTAATTTTCTTCTTCTACTGGTTTCCTCCATACATTGAAACATATATTCTCATGTTGTTGTTGTTGTTGTCAGTTGCCTCTGAGCTGGTTCACTGCCCAGTCCTGTGCCATCCTCACAATTATTATTCCGTTTGAGCCCATTATTATTGCCACTGTGCCAATCCATCTCAATGAGAGTCTTCCTCTTTTTCACTGATTCTCCACTTTACCAGAACCAACTCCACAGCACATAACCACCACCACTTTACCAAGCGTGATGTCCTTCTCCAGGGAGAAGGCTCACCATCCTGGCTTCTAAGGAGCATTCTGGCTGTACTTCTTCCACCACAGATTGGTTTGTTCTTCTGACAGTCCACAGTACTTGTAATATTTTCATTGTTATTATTAAGTGTTGTTGAGTTGGTTCCAACTCCTAGCAACCCTGTTTGGGTTCCCAAGGGACGGTAGGTGAGTTTGAACTACTGACTTTTTGGTTCAAACTGACCTTGCAGTCTAGTGCTTAAATAGTACACTCATCTATGGAAATCAGGAAACTTTAACTACTACTTCAAACATCCAAGTAGAGCTAGGGACATCTGTTTCTCCCCCAATCTTAGGAGGTTCAGGCAACAAACAAAAACTGCGGCACCATTGAATGTGACATGTCTGTTTTCTATATTTGAGACACTGGGTTTTAACTTTCCTTTCTCTTCTGGGGCACTGAGTGGTGGGCTTCTCTCTAATAGAAATATGAGAATTATGAAGTAGTGAAATGTACAAGTTCTATCAGACACAGAGCAAGATAGAAAGTCTGAAGGATAGAGTCTACTTTTGTTTCCGCCAGTTGTTTTGAAGTACTTAAGTCACCTTTGAGAATGGGATTGCTGAAGCCAGTCTATCAACAGCTCCTCACATCCACCTTTACATATTTGAAGGATCTTCACATAGCATCTGGCAAAAGTCCCCCAAGGGTCGCCTGACATTTAAGGTTGCTGTGAAGTTCGAATGAGATGTTATTGTTTTTAATTGTCCTCAAGTCATCTCCAACTCATGATAGCCTTGAGAACAAAACACCAGGTCCTACACCATCTTTATGATTGCTAGTAAGTTTGAGTCCATTGTAGTAACCAAAGTGTAGTGCCTACCAACCTATATCAGACAGTATTCTGCTGAGATCCATAAGGTTTCCATGGGTTAGTTTCCAGATGTAGATTGCCTGGCCTCTCTTCCTAGTCTTATAATAAAAAACTGAACCAAAATGTGTTGTTCATGGTATCCCATGTGTTAACAGAGTAGAACTGCTCCATAAGGTTTTCTTGGCTGTGATCTTTCAGAAGCACATCACCAGACCTTTCTTCCACGGTACCGCTGTATGGCATTGAATGACAACTTTTAGATAGTTGTTGTTGCTAAGTGCCGTCAAGTTGATTCTGACTCCTAGTGACCCTGTATAGGGTTTTCAAGGAGCAGCTGGTGAGCTTGAACCACCAACCTTGCAGTTCAAATGACTTTGCAGTCTGACGCATTAGCCCACAGCGCCAGTTAAGCACAAACCACTTGTGCCACCTAGGGACCTCTTTAAGGAACCCTAGCAGTGTAGTGAGTTATAGGTCAGCCTGCTAACCACAAGGTCAGCAGTTCAAAACTACCAGCCATTCTGTGGGAGAAAGATGAAGCTTTCTGCTCCTGTAAAGATTTAGAGCCTCATTACTCTGAGTGTATGTGCCTGACTGTCTGTCATCTTAGAGTGAATGGGCAATGTCACGCACTCCTATCCTTGGCCTGGATGCTCTTTCTCAGAAGATGTGCAGACTGAGGCTGTAAAGGCTGATGATACAAAAGAAGCAAAGAGGACTTAAAATACTTACTAATGAGGATTTGAGACTACATACAGCCTTCAGTAAAAATTGCATCTTATTGTAAAGAAAAGCCAAATTCTCACAACTGGGCCAGTAAAGAATATCATGATTAATGGAGAAAAGATTGAATTTGTCAAAAACTTGATGTTACTTGGATCCACAAACAACACTCATGGAAGCAGCAGTCAAGAAATCAAATGACATATTGCATTAGGCAAATCTGCTGAGTCCTGGTGTGACGCTGTGGGCTAATGCATTAGATTGCAAAGTCAGTTTGAACTACACAGTCAGTAGTTCAAGTTCACCAGCTGCTCCTTAAAAACCCTATACAGGGTTGCTATGGGTTGGAACTGACCAGATGGCACTTA